GCCTTCCTCTGAAATCTCGGTGGAGGCTGGCATGACCCCAGAACTCTTGTACTCTACTTGCCTACTGAAGTAGCATCACACAGATGACACCAGGATCTGCCAGCAGCTTGAGCTCTTGAACCACAGCTGCAGCCACGTTGGAGGACTTCCCAGCAAGCCAGAATCCAGAGCTGGCCCTGGGTGAGCAGGGCACCCTGAGACCCTGCTGGAAGGATTCTGGCCAGGGAGATCTTCCAAACAAATTTGCACTTCTAAACTTCTACACCTCCGCACTGAAGTGAGAAGCCCTTGAGACACTTTAATGGTGTTTTGTTAATTAGCATTCCTCCTAATCTCTTTAGCAAGTGGCTTGCTCAACCACAGCACCCTCCTTGGCCACACCGTCACAGGCTAACCACCTGTTAGGCACTTGCTTTCTCAGTTATCAGATCAACTGTCATAGTATCACAGTGCTGTGTTCAACTGGACACTTACTTTACTTAATACTGGCCCCAAAGCACAAGAGCAGTGAGGCTGGCAATTTGGAGATGCCAAAGAAAAGCCATAAAGTGCTTCTGTTAAATGAAGAGGTGAAAGTTCTGGACTTAACAAGGAAAGTGATGTGCTGAGGTTGCAAAAAACTGTGATCAGAACAAAACATAGTAGGTACAGGGGTCAGTACTGTTGATGGTTTCAGGCATCCAGTGAAGGTCTTGGAACCTGACTCCATGGATAAGGGGGTACTGGTGTATTGACTAGTTACTCTGTGCCAACAACAATGTTAAGCCTTGAACACACCAACATCATACACCTTCATGTACTTCAGGGAGACAGATCTATTCAAATAATTTGATTATCTGTGTGGTAAGTATCAATGGAAGTATATACAAGTTGTCAGGGTAGTATGGCAGAGGAGAAAATAAGCTTTGTGAAAAAGGATACGATGAAATACTTCCCAGAGAACCTGCAGATTAAAGATGAAAAATATGTTCTGTCCAAGAGACAGAAGGCATAACTGAAGGTGTGAGGTCCAGAAACAGTAAAGCTTTGAAGAAGTAAAACTAGTTTTAGGAGTATTAAGCACCAGACAGAAAATTAGGCTGGAAACAGGCAAGGCCAGGTCAAGAGAAGAGACTTAAATGTCATTTTAAAGAACTTGATGACAAAATTCTTTATTTTTTCCTTTCTGCATTAGAAAAAAAATTGTATTATCATACATTGAACAAACAGTGGAGCACTCCTCACTCATATTATTCTTCAGACATCTTTCTGGACACAGGAGTACTTAATAGATCTGTATCTTTAAAAATCCTCACAGGGGCCAGCGGTGTGACATAGAGGGGTAAAGCCGGCACCTGCAATGTTGGCATCCCATAGGAGCAACTGTCCAAGTCCCAGATGCTCCACTTCAAATCCAGTACCCTGCTAATGTGCCTGGAAGGCAGTGAAAGATTGCCTAGGTGTTGGGCCCTTGCACCTATGTGAGAGATTGAGAAGAAACTCTTGGTTCCTGGTTTGGGCCTGGCCCAGCCCTTACCATTGCAGCCATTTGGGGAGTGAACCAGCATATATAATTTCGATCTCTCTCTCTCTCAATCTCTCTCTCTCTCTCTCTGAAACTATGCCTTTCAAATAAATAAATCTTTACAACAAAATTTTAAAAATCCTCATAAATGACAATTTTGTTGATGAGGTAGGGAGCCTAGATTTGATTTGTAGTTTCTCTCCTTCCAGTTGATTCTTGGCACAAACTTGCAGGAAACTATTTCTCACTCTGTTGCTAATGACAACACAATGGTTTGAATCATTTCTGCCAGGTAGCAGATTTTTCAGCAATCCACCCCATAAACTATAATTAGTTTTCTATAAGAAGCAAATTATTTCCTTTATTGCCTTTGTAAATTTCATAGCCTTTATTATATTTTTTGTTGTACATTAATATCTATGAATTTCTATTGGCGTTAACCCGAAAGAAGCCACATCTTTTCAGCTTACAGACTCTTTTAGTTGAAATAGAACTTGGAGGCGGGCATTTGGTGCAGCAGTTAAGATGCTGCTTGGAATGCTTACATCCCATAATGGAGTGCTTGGGTTCGAGTCCCACTTCTGCGTTGATTCCAGCTTCCTGCTAATGTGCACCCTTGGAGACAGCTCAAGTAGCTGGGTCCCTGCCACCCACACAGGAGAGCCAGAATGAGCTCCTAGGATTCAGTTTTGGCTTGACTCAGCCTGGGCTACTGGGGAATAAACCAGGCAATAGGTGAGATATCTGTGTATCTATTTGTCTCTTTGCCTTTTGAATAAATAAAATTAATGAATTAAAATATAATTTCTTTTTTTAAAGATATATTTATTTGAAAGGCAGAGTTATAGAAAGACAGAGAGACAAAGATCTCCCATGTACTGGTTTACTCTCCAAATGGCCACAAGCAGCAGGGTTGTGCCAGGCCAAAGCCAGGAGCCTGGAACTCTATCCAGGCAGTAGCCTGAGGACTTTGCTGCTTTCCCAGATGCATTAGCAGGGAACTAGATCAGAAGTGGAGGAGCCAGCACTCAAAATGGTGCTCATGTGTAATGGCAGCCTCGCAGGTGCAGGCTTAACCTACTGCACCACGATGCTGGCCCCTAAAATAGAAATCTTTGTTACAAAAGAAGAAAATGAAAGTAATAGGCATCAGGAAGGAGTAAGAAAGGTCCTTAGAAAGAAGAAATTATATACTAAAGAATGAACAAATTCTAAGTATTACCTAAGGTAACAATACTAAGACACAAGTGCAAATTTGAATGTCAAACCACAGAATTACATAGAAAATTGATGTACAAATCAATTGGCCCTCAGTTAATTCTATATTGGAGGTTCAGGGGAAAAGTAAAACTTGAAATTTCAAAATCAGTGGTGGCAAAGAGAGGATTGAACAGCAGCACCTTGCTCATTAACAACACTTTACACATACTAAGGATGGTGTTATTTTAATGGACAAAGCATATTCCCAAATGTATTGCATGCAAGTGTCCTGCATATTTTCAAAAATTGCCTCTTGCCTGGATGAAAACCAGTGATCTGAAACTGAGCGCTAATTTGACACAGAACAAAAACGTGTGGTTACCCCGTTGCAATTGTTCTTCATTAACTAGAGAACGAGAGCAAAGAAACTATGCGAACATTACAGAGAATCATGATTTTAGGCGAGGTATGGGGACAAGTGGTTGAATAAGAGGGTTGCTCAGTTTGCGTCTGGGTATTCTGAAGTCTTTTTCTGTCTCCAGGCATGAGCTGGACTGTCAGCCGTATTATCTCGCTGCAAACAAGGGAACAGACAAGATTTCTCCAGGTCCTGTCAAGACTGGTGATCCCACACTTCTTTGGAAATGAAAATCTAATTAAGAGGCTCCCTAGGGTCAGGTCAAAGGCATTCTTTCATCTCTATAGACTTTAACCCAGTTCCTGGATGCCTTATTCCTCCCCTTTCATTCAGCCTACTCTAAAACTAAGGAATACACATTGTACAAGTTTCCACCTTTGCTTCCTCTTCTGTAAATGTATTAGATTATTAGAATGAAGAGTTTTGAATCCCTCAGCTCCATATCTAAACTGATGGGGTTGTTTTCAAGTATTTTTGAATAGAGCTTAACACGAAAACTTCTAAAACTTTCAAGTGATAATTTTTTAATGTTAAGTCTAAAACATTAGCAAGCCCTTCAAACACCTTTATAATAATCAATCTGAGAATGTTTTTGCCAAGTTTAATTAGGTTTTATGCCCTTCTAATTCAAAGATTGTGATCTGTGTGAAATTTAACCTGGGTTAAATTCCTGTTGGAATCACATAGACAGTGTTTTACTTCTTTGAAACAATTTAAGGGTTGAGCATCTTTAAAGTTACCACTCAACTGCTGCACACTTTAAAACCTGACAAATTATTTAGCAGATATGTTCCAGGACAACCACCCCAAACTCTTGGAGCTGTCGTTATAGAACCCCCAAGTCTGGGTCCCCTCCCAGGGGCAGCTGTTGCCATTTCCCTGCTGGAGCTCCCCCGGGGAATTTGGGGTGTTTTTTTATAGACTGAAATTGGAGCTGAGAGGTGCAGGGTCAGCTCATGCTCAGGTTCCCGGTTGGTCAGTGTGCTAGTGAGTTTTCTTTGATTGGTCTGTGATGCTGTGCTCCTTAGAGAATTTTTTTGATGCCCAGGTGGGCTTCTGTTGGCCTAGGAGAGGTGAAGGTGGGGCTTACAAGCAAATGGTAGTTTCCTTCTACTCCAGACCTGGAATTCCCCTAAACAACTCCTTCCAAGCAGTGCTGGCCAACAAGGGACTCCTTGAGTCCTGTGAGTGGAACTTTGTCGGGTCAGCTGTATCTCTCCCCAGTTCAGTGAATTCCTTTTGATACCCGACAGGCAAGGACACCTTGGGCTCCTGGAGACAGACAAGAGGCTGGGCCCTGTCTTTCCATTATAGGGGTTCAATCTCAGATCACAGTCAAGTCACGTCGTCCCCCCCCATAGAAAAGCAAAGCATAATGGAGCACAGTGTTCTTTTACCTCCTCCTTTCCCCTGTATGAAAAATTAGTTGTGTTGACTTGTGTACGTTTTAAACAGCCCTGTAGAGTTGTGCACGTTCTATCCACTTAGAAGTCTCTTAGTGTTTAGAAACACGTGTGGCACCCACCCATTCTGACCAGCAATCTTTCTCCAAACCACGCCATACTGCCTTGTTAAAATTTCGAATGTTAACTTGGGGCCTCAAACTCTTAACATTAAAATCTAACTCTCCTCTTAACCAACACTCAGAAGAAACCTTTAAGAGTCAAAATAGGCTCCACGAGGCTGTCGGCTGACTACAATCCCAATCACCGCTCCAAATAGAGAATCTAGCCTGGCGCCAGTCAGCAGTTACCAGCTTGGCGCAAAGCTGTAGTTAACACTTGATTGGTTAACATGCCTGTCAGTCACACGGGGTAGGTGGGGCCGCAAGCCCTATCTAAACGAGACGCTTTGTTTTTACGTCATCGGGGAGCGACGAAAGCAGGAGAGGGAGGGGTGGAGTAGTGAGTGGATCTCGGCGTTGGCGGGGGCGGCTTGCGAAGGTGTCATGGCCGCTGCTACCGAGCTTAGTTACCCGAGCATCGGTGACAGGGACCTGGAACGCAGCTGCAGCCCCAGCCTCTCCCGAGAGGTGCTCTGCGAACTCTTTCGCTCTCTGCACACCCTGGCTGGACAGGTGGGTGGTGGCCCGGGGAACCGGGGCAGTGGGCCGTCCGCCCTTCCCCCACTTGTCCCTGTGGCGGAGGCCGGCCGGGGGGCAGCCGGCGGCGGCCGTGCCCGCCCTCGCTCGGTACCGGCTGCGGTCCAGATGACCACGCTGCTGTCCTCTCGGAGAGGGAGCGAGGGTGGTCCGAGGGGAAACCCAGTGGCCCGCGGAGCAGGTCTGCAGGGAATGGAAGCAGAAAAGCTTCCGTCGGGGTTTAGGGGTGCCTGCGCTCGGGGTCTTGTTCCCGGCAGCTTACTCCTTCGAGAAACTGGGTGGTCGGTCAGTACGGACTGAAGTTTTTGGAAAAGCGACCCTCTGAGTCACTTGGTTTTCTTTCTGGTTGCCCTGTGGGTGTGTGCCCATCTGTTACCCTTTGCATCAGGGAGTAGAGTAAAACGGTTAATCAACTTCTAACTTAAAGTTGCTGTTTGCGGTAGAACTGCCGTCTGACGAGGTGTTCAGGAAGGAGTTTAATTGGCTCGTAAACCGCTTTTGCAGACCTACCTTATAAAATGGATTTTAAAAGGTGGGTTCTTAACACTGATAGTCAGTATTGAGATTCAAGCTGTAAACTTCGGATTGAATTTTAAACGAGGAATAGCCTTGCGGTGTGTTTGTCTGCCTCTTAGAAAGAAATAATTTCTTCCTTATCTTACGGAGACAATATTACTGTAACTTTGTTCTGGGACTGGTACTAGTGCATGTGGTGAAAACAGGCATTTGTGTCAAAGATAAGTTCCTATGAAATTGGAGCATTTGTCTGAATTCTGAAAATTCCCTTTTAAATCCTTGAGGGTATGGAGAGACACCTTTTTAAAAAGCTGTTGGAGTATTTTTAAAAAGCTTGGCATGTTGTGGCTTATAAAGAACATTACTGTAAGTAAGCATTCTGTTTTGTGTAATGAGGCAGTTATTAATAGAGTCTCCTAAGTGGTACACCTTGTAAACTCGGTGGGTTGCCAAGGACGTGGGTACTTCTGATGGTTATTAGAAGACCAAGGACCTTTTAAATGGTTGAAAAGTTACAGAACTTTTTATGGCTTGGACATTGGAACATTACATTTTATTCATATTCTGATATCAGGTTGAGAAAAATGTATGGTCATCCATTATTTGTAGAGTTCCTCCTGCCCCAGTGATAGGATATTTGTACAAATTCATACTGAGAGATAATTTAAACATTGCTTTTGAAATATTTGCTTGTTGAACTCTTGAAACTTGAAAAAATTTTAATTCAGATATTCTAATAGTACAAGTAGAAAATTGATTACAGTTTACTTGCGTCACCTGTCAAAAATGTTTAGGGTAAAAATTTGGTGAGGTTTTCTTGACACAGGCAAGGGACCTTCTATGTAAGTATCAAAAATATGATTGCCTCTCAATTCAGTGCTAACCATTTTGATGACAACCTGTAGTTTGAGATGTATTGTTTAAGAATGAAGTTCAGAGAACCATGTCCACATCAGTATTTCTTTTTGCAATAAGTTTGAAGTTTTTTTAGCATGTATGTTGTTATATGCCCAAGTTCATACTAGATATCATCGTATTATTAACTCTCAGTTGGAAGCATAAAATTGTGAAAATGTGTTTTCTATTCCAGATGGCAAAATTTACTAATTTTTATCCTTAATGGGCTTACAGATGGTTCATTTTACCAAACTAAATTTAATGCTTGCTCAGATTTTCATAATTTAATAAAGTTTTACTGAAAGTACAGATTTAAATAGTCCAATTAATTGCAAACTGATAGACTTTTGACTGGTTTACTATTCCAAGTTTAAGAGAAAAAAATGCATAGAATTTATTACTAAAAGGGGATTTGTTGACTGAATTTTGGATAAATTGGGATAGTTTTAGAACTAATTTGCAACATTATTTTGTGGTTTTCTTAAAAGACCAAGTATCCTTAATTACCCTTAAAAGCTTCCATTATTAATTGAAATGAAATTGTAATCCAGACATTAGGATTTATTTTCTGTAAGGTGTTTTCTCCAGAAGATGTGTTGCCTTGCCTTGGTGGAGGATTTCTTTGCTTTCTTCCAAAACCACATCCATCAATTTATTGTAACCAACTACAGATCTCTTTGAGGGCTGTAAAATTTTGATATCGGGTTACTTCTGTACATGATAGCAGATGTCTGACAAAATTGTTAAAGTCACTATAATATTAACTAATCTTTGTGTACAGTTGTCTAATATTGGACTTTAAATGCTTCTGGTGTCATGTTCAAAGAGCGGTAAGGTTCTGTCACATGTGTTCATTCAATATGGTGTTTTTATTGGTAACCTTGAATCTGATTTCTTGCATAGTGATTCATCTTTTTGTTTTATTATAATTACAGCTCATAAGATCTGTATTTGAATTGGATGTAACACCTTTATTTATAGAAAAACGTTATTTCTGAAGAATATAGTTAAATTGATTCTTAAACACATGTTCCTAGAAAAGTTTCTGGTGATTCACTTTTCACTCAAAGATTGCAAATGGCGGTTTTCATTCTAAAGTAGATATTAGCTTTATAGATTTTTACCGTTTTCTGAATATGATTTTATTCTGATAGATCAACTGATAAGAGATTTTCATTCAGTGCGCCCTCACATCTTACTGGAAAATGGTATTTAGTTTCTGACAATTTGACTATTGTGAAGAAGCTTTTGTATTTCAGTTTCAGACTTCCATAACTAAATAATGCCATAATTTTTACTTAAAATATAAAAACACATTGCCCATTATCCCTAGATTTTGTGAGAAGTTGTGATTTTTAAATTATTTTTAAAATTTGGTTAAAGGTGAAAATAGTAAAAACGTGATTCAGAAGATATCAGAATAATGATATAATTCAGGTATGTATTTGCATACTAACAAATATGCACATTGGAGCTTGGATAAAACAGTTGTGCTGCCTCTGTTTAATGCTCTGAGGTAGAAGCAGTGAGACTCTGAGTAGGGCAGGTCTATTTTGGACCCCATCCAAAGGTTTTTAGATACTGAAGTATCAAAATAACCTTCCTCTTTCACAGGTGGTTTCACCTCTAACATGGTCCCATTACACAGCTTCAGGAACAGAAGAGACTTAGAGTGAGATGTGATTTTGCTTTTGTTTTTTTGGTGACCATCTTGCACCTTCCTGGGCCTTTTATAATGATAAATAATTTTCATGTATCCTTAAAAACTTGATAACTTTGAGCAAAATAGGTATGTGTTGCTCCATAGAAATCTTATTTTTGTGACAGTCTTCTATGTACAGCTTAATCGTGTAATTTTTGTGATGTTGCTGGTTTGCCCCTTTGAAGCTTAACCTCAGAGATGATGTGGTGAAAATTACAATCGATTGGAACAAGCTCCAGAACCTCTCGGCATTCCAGCCTGCATTGCTCTTTAGTGCACTTGAGCAACACGTTTTACATTTGCAGGTAAATTTCTTGTTAGAAAGATTAACTCAGTGCTGAAAATAGAAACTAATTGTGATTAGATTAGCTGGAATATTTGTTCTATTGTAGCATTGTATTAATGTTACTGAGAAAAGGTTGTGTGTGTGTGTATGGAGGGATATCTAAATCTGTTAGTTTCAGTAATTATCAGCAGAATTAGGGGAATATAAAGCCAAATAGGCCAGTGTGGCCATGGGATTGAATGAATGCAGTTCTATTCAAATCTAGACTTGCACTGAAAATTCAATACAGTTCATCTATGGTGGGTTATAATTAAGCAATAAGACACGGCAGGTGTGTGTCATGCTATGATAATGATTCCATGCCTTGGGTGAGTTTGGAGGCTCATGGAGTGCTTTCAGTGGTTCAAGAAGTGGCATTATCCCAGCATGACACATCCTGGAGTGTCTATTGCAATTAAACAGTTTCAGCATAGTTTTTAAAAAGAAAGTAATTTCTGTGACATTAATGTTTCATCTTAGTAAGTAGCCAGTCACTATTTTATCTTTTCTGAACAGTTTGAAATCATTCATCCTTGATATTAGAAGTCAATATTGAATTAATAGTAGTTATTTAATATTTCAGTTCAGTAACTGAATGTGACCTTTGTCATTGAACATCTTTGCAGTTATAATTGGTGAATTGATATGTTACAGTTTATTTCTGTTCAAAGTGTAAAATGTGACATGTCAGAGAAGAAAAACTGAATTGGTCAGCTTATGTCTGTTAAAATATTACAAGGTTTTAGAAGAGTGTTTGGTATAGCAAACAATGGAAGCAAAATTGTAGGTATAAAAAAATAATTGGAACGTTGATAAGTGTTGGTGTGTTTTGACTAATGGAAAGATACTAATTTTCAATCTCACATTCAGTGAATTTGTGGGGAAAGGTAACTGTTTTTCATGTTAAAAGTAATAGTTAACCCTGTTTTTTAAAGGGCAGAGAGATGAGCTATGAGCAGTGAGCCCTCAAATGAGACCTAATTGTGGGGGGTGGGAGGATGGCAGTGAGGGAGTAACGTGATTTCCATTATATAGCAGGGCTTCCTCCCACCCTCACCCCAGGATGGTGATAGGCATCTCTGTTCTCAGCTATGGATCTTGGTCTTTTTTTTTTTTTTAACCTCCTCCTGGCTCACTTTGCTTTTTACAATTTAATTTCATGACCCAGGAAGGTATCTTGCCATGTCAGGAAAAGCCTGGGTGCTCGCTCAGCATCACACCTATCTGTTTCATGTCTGCTCTTTGATGCACTTTGGCCAACTGCAGCTTCAAGTGGAGAATCTCCAGTGATATGGTGATAATGCAGGGCTTTGCCGTGTGACAGCACTGGCTCTCGTGTTAAGGAGGAAAAATACTAAGCCTTAGTGTTCTGAGGAGGCATTTGAATGACATGTTAATTAAGTGGCATTGGTGCCAGAGGCTGAAGGCGTTGATTTGGCACAAAATAAAAGATGAGTGACAGAATGATTCCCTCAAAGAAAATTTTAAATTTCCCCAGGTTTTCTTTGCTTTCCCTTTTTGAAGCAAATAATAATGGTCACAAAAGCAAAAAAAAAAATTAGTAAACACTTACATGTAGTTCAATTTATGTATCCTGATATATCAACTTCTTATATTTTGTAATTGATATCAGACATTTCATTTACTTAGAGATGTGGATAAATGAGTTAAAAATGTGATTAATTTTAGTTAGTGTGAACCCCAGCAGATGCCACTGTGTTCTTCTCAGCCTTTTTTAGCAAAACTTCAGCCTCTGATTAAAGAGGAGAATGCCACAACTGCTGAAGAGATGGGAAAAACAGAAATGGGGAACAAGAGTGAAGTGAATGACAAAAATCCCATTGGCGACCTGCAAGAGGAAGAGAAGCACAAAGACGGTGACTTAGGAGATGTGAAAAAGACACAGATCCATTTTGATCCCGAAGTCGTTCAAATAAAGGCTGGAAAAGCAGAAGTGAGAAGTGGGTGGGGCTGGGGTTTAGGGGTGTAACTGAAAAATCGTACTATGTTTACATTGCTAAGACATACTTGTTGTTTGTAGATTGACAGACGAATATCTGCATTTATTGAAAGGAAGCAAGCTGAAATCAATGAAAACAACGTCAGAGAATTTTGCAATGTTATTGATTGTAATCAAGGTAACTACCTAGACGTTAATTTTCCTAGGATTTTAAGCACAATTTTTATGTTTGTTCTACTGTTTCATTTGTTTTTAAAAATGAATAACATTAAGAACACAATTAGATTTCTCAGGTTCAGTTAGTAACTAAAGCAGTGGAAATTCCTTCTATTAAGTAATAGACTACATTGAAAAACTGATTTTTATTTTGGTTCCACAACAATCAAATAAATGCTAACATAAAAAGGCTAATATTTAGCTCAAGTGAAAAGATTAAGTTCCTTTAGGAAATGAGAGTGAAGAGTGGGTGGCAGAGATGTTCTGTCTCACTAGAAAAAGGAGCTGAGCATATGAAGTTTAAGCCTGCAAATGTGCTTAGGAAGTTAGGATGTTAATACAGAAAGTGAACTTAGTGAAGTTAGTGGTATTCCTCAAGAGGGAGCAGTTTTCTCATTGCTCCTGAGCTGTTTGAGATGTTCCATGTCATTATACAATCCGTTTGTCACGAGGACCGTGGTGTCTCGTGCTTTTCCTCTTTCTTTCCTCCTGCATGTGTTTGCTGCTGTTCATCAGATTCTCGTCCTCTGCACTTGACACTGCAGTACGTTTACGGATCTGCAGGTACGCTGCAGCATACAGAATACTGCAAGGCACGGCTGTAGATCATACTCAGGCATCACACTAATAATCAGAACAAGTAGTTCTTGGGAAAAATTACAGAGAAGAGTTCATAATTGGAACGAACATTTTTCTTGTTGCCTTTAATATCTTGAGTAATTATCACGAACACAGACTTGTCAGATGAGCCTGGAAGTGACTCATACCACGTTGGTATACTCCCTCCCTGTCTTAATGATGAAACAATGCAGGCTCAGGTTGGGTCCTAAATTCAGCATTTTCTATTATTCACATTCATGTGTGTCTGTGTGTGTGTGTGTCTGTGTCTGAATTTGGGGTGTTTTCCTGTTCACTTTTTAAAACAGGTGCAGCAGTAGCAAAAAGCTCAGGTGCTACAATCCAACTGCCAGCAGTCCATGAAAAAGGGTTTGTTGAGGGAGCAAGCACATGTGTCAGTAATGTTATTCCTCTGTTCTCCCTGCTAACTCTATTATTATAAGCCACCAGGGGATAGAAATTGACAAGAATTGAAATGCTCAGCAGGATTCCTTGGCCCATTCAATCCCTTGCTGGCTCAAAACAGTGCTAGCAAGAATTGCTGTGGAGAGTGACTAGCGCTCCTACATTCACTGTCTTCACACCATGCTGAATTTCTCACTGATGGGTCAGTTAATCTATATATTTGGAATATATCTGTGGAATAGATGATAGCTTCTTTTTTTAACCCTTAGCCCCATGATATGATAGAAAGAGAATGGAGAAGTGATGGCCCTTTAAGACATTTTCAAGTATCTCCAAAAAGAATAAAGAAAAAGAAAATGATTCTGTTTAGTCTCTAGATAGAAAAGTGGATTGAGAATTTTATTTCCACAATTTCACTTATAAGCAGAACTATTAAGGAAACTTAGGCTGAAAAAATATAAATGTTTTAATGTGTTGGGGTGTTCATTTAAATTTCTTAATTTGACCTAAATACAAAGAGTAGTTTTGTAAAGTTGAATTCCATAGGGAAAAGAATTTTTTAGTATCTCATTAATTTTCCATTTCTTAGGAAATAATCATGAAAATTTTGTGCCAGTAGATGGTTTTACTATCATTTCAATCATTGGTATTATTAATGTAGTATTATATGTTAATAATACGATAATGTATAATTATAGTATTTATACTAATATATATTAACATCTTTTAAATTTTCCTCCTTTGTAATTTATTTATTGACTTCTAATATGAAAGAAACTAGACTTTAGTTTGGAAAAAAATTGGAACAGAATTTTACAGTACATCTTTCTTAGAATGGCATTTTTTGAAAGGTGGAATGGAAAGATGACTTCTGTGATTAGGAGTTTTTAAAATGAGCATTGGAAATATAGGTAGAGTGGGAAGGTATGTGTTATACTTGAAATTTCAAGGTCTGTTTTGTGTGGAGTTCTGAAATAAAAAGATGTTAAAAGTGTAATCATTTTTATTAGATGTTCACAAGTTCAGTTTATAAGTATGAACAATGCTGTTTTTAAAAGATAATTTGGTAAAAATGAATTCTGTCTATGATGAAGTAGAATTAAATTTTTTTTAAGATTTATTTATTTGAAAGTCAGAGTTACATAGAGAGAGGAGAGAGAGGTCTTCCATCCAATGGTTCACTCCCTAATTGGCTGCAATGGCTGGAGCTGCGCTGATCTGAAGCCAGGAGCTTCTTCTGGGGTCTCCCACGCAGGTGCAGGGGCCCAAGGACCTGGGCCATCCTTCACTGCTTTCCCAGGCCATAGCAGAGAGCTGCATCGGAAGTGGAGCAGCCAGATCTTGAAACGGCGCCCATAGGGGATGCCAGCACTTCAGGCCAAGGTGTTAACCCCCTGCGCCACAGCGCTGGCACCTAAAATACTTTGTAATACAGCAATTATTTTCTCCAAAGGTCCACATGGTTTTTAGGGATATTAGTTTTTATTAAAACTTACATAAAATTAATGCCCTTTGATGTTGATGGTTTTTCTATATGTAAATCTCAAGACTAGATATTATATATTTCAAAGAATAAAGAAGATCACTAAGTTCTATCCTGTATATGATAAGAATTTGTTATATAGTATTTAAGATTATGTTCTTACCATGAATATTATGTTAACAAGTATCACAATTTATGCATTTGAAGTTAAGAATATATTTAAACTTCTATTCATTTGAACTCCTCTAGAAAATAGTTGTGCCAGAACTGATGCTGTTTTCACCCCTTACCCTGGATTTAAAAGTCACGTAAAGGGTAAGTGATCCTTGTGTAGTAACTTTGTCACTGACAGAAGCTTATTCTAGACTTTTAGCAAAATGGAATAGAAATAACTTCCATATCTAAATTTTATTTTCAACACAAAACAAGAGGTCTTGCCTAAAGTACTATTAGGGAAGGAATTTCTGGATGGTTATTTATTTATTTAAATTTATTTGAGAAACAGAGCTCTTGTCTATGGTTTGTCCTCCTGATGCCTGCAGTAGGCTCTGGCTGGGGCCGGAACTGGGAGCTGTAAACTCGGTCTCGTTGTCCCACATGGGTGGCGTGAACTGCTGCCTCCCTGAGTCTGAATTAGCGGGAAGCTAGAGTCAGGAATGGAGCTGGACACTGAACCCGGTACTTTGATGTGGGATGGTAGGGCTGACCAAGGCTGAGACTTTTAAAGCAAATTTATAGAGGCTCAAAAGTTTCTTTACTTAGTTTCTAGAGTTGTGAATACATATGGACCACAGACTAGACCTGAAGGAATTCAAGGGTCAGGTCACAAACCTAACAGCATGCTTCGAGACTGTGGTAATCAGGCTGTAGAAGAACGACTACAGAATATTGAGGCTCACTTGCGACTGCAGACAGGTAAGCTGAGGGAAGGTGGCGCCCGTGGTGTACCTTTGCAGGCGAGTAAGGAAATTCCAGTTCATTTCATCGCCAAATTTCCGTTGAATACCTTTTGTGGGTAAAACATTGTTCTGATGGATATGACAAGGAATGAAGTGTGGTCCCGACTTTATAGTTCTTGCTTAAGCTTGTTCTTGTCTCACACATCATGCGACTTTCTAAAATAGAGTGCTAGAAAAATGAGACTAGGTTCCAAATAGCTGCTGATAGCCTCAGTTTATTGAAATTAGAACTGAAAACTATTGTAGTCTTTATTAATAATTATTTAATTGAAAGGCAGAGCTACAGAGATCTTCTACCTGCTGCTGGTTCACTTCTCAAATGAGTGTAATAGCCAGTCCTGGGCCAGGCTGAAGCCAGGAGGGCAGATCTCCATCTAAGCATTTGGGCCATCGTCTGCTTTCTCAGGTGCATTAGGGAACTGGATCAGAAGCAGAGCAGCCAGCACTCGAAGCAGAACTCATATGGGATGCCTGTGTTGCAGGTGGCAGCTTAACCTGCTGTGCCACGATGCAGGGACCTTAAAGTAGGCTTTTCTTACCACCACTTTGATAGCTTCCCACGACTTCTTATCACCCACTGTTACATACAAGGTGTGGATGAATGTGGTCCTCGTCTTCAAGGATCCCTCAGTGAGGATAAGCGTATAAATAAATAAAAGCCACAGGGAAGGTAAACTAACAAAATGATACTAAGAGCCAGTCACTTTGAGAGCATGTCAGCTCCCTTAATACTTAATCGTACCCTTTCAAGGCACTGGTGCTGTTACTGCTGCACAGATGAAGAAACTGCTGTTCAAAGGGCTCAAGCAACATGCTCAAGGTTGTAAGATAGAGACAAGTGGAAATCAGACCCAGATTTGAACTGGCTGCAAAGCCTGTGTTTCCCTCCACATTCAGTCACCATGCCGTGTTGATTCTGCCTTTTTTTTTTTTTTTTGACAGGCAGAGTGGATAGTGAGAGAGAGAGACAGAAAGGTCTTCCTTTGCCATTGGTTCACCCTCCAATGGCCTCCGCGGCCGGCGCACCGTGCTGATCCGAAGGCAGGAGCCAGGTACTTATCCTGGTCTCCCATGGGGTGCAGGGTCCAAGCACTTGGGCCATCTTCCACTGCACTCCCGGGCCACAGCAGAGAGCTGGCCTGGAAGAGGGGCCACCGGGACAGAATCCGGCGCCCCGACCGGGACTAGAACCCTGTGTGCCGGCGCCGTAAGGCGGAGGATTAGCCTATTGAGCCACGGCGCCGGCCTGATTCTGCTTTCATCTGTCACCACAGCTGCTTTAGTTGACACCACTGTGATCTCCATGGGCTGATGGAAGGATATCAGCTGGTCTGTTTGCCAGTAGACCTCCTCTAGATTACTCTTTATCCTGTGTCCCAAATGCTTTTTCTAAAGTTCAGAAATCTTTAATGGTTTCCTGTTGTCCTTACAGTTACATCAAATTTAGTATTTTTTCACTCATCAACTATGTATTAAGCCCTTGCAATAAGCCAAGCACTGATGATATATTTTTTAAAGATTTATTTTATTTATTTGAAAGAGTTACACAGAGAGAGAAGAGGCAGAGAGAGTTCTTCCATCCACTGGTTCACTCCCCAGTTGGCTGCAACGGCTGGAGCTGCACCAGTCTGGAGCCAGGAGCTTCCGCCAGGTCTTCCCACACAGGTGCAGGGGCCCTAGAACTTGGGCCATCTTCCATTGCTTTCTGAAGGTATAGCAGAGAGCTGGATCAGAAGTGGAGCAGCCAGGACTTGATCTGGCACCCTTATAGGATTGCAGCTGGCGGCTTTACCTGCTACGCCACAGCACTGGCCCCCTGGTATATTAAGAATACATCTGGGGCTGGCACAGCATTATAGGTTAAGCATCCACCTGTGGTGCCAGCATCCCATATGGGCACTGGATTGAGTCGTGGCTGCTCCACTTCAGATCCAGCTCCCTGCCAATGGCCTGGGAAAGTGGTAGAAGAGGCCTTAAGTGCTTGGGCCCCTGCACCTGCATGGGAGATCTGGAAGAAGCTCCTGGCTTCTGGCTTTGGATCAGCTCAGCCCTGGATGTAGCAGCCATTTGGGGAGTGAACCAGCGGATGGAAGACCTCGCTGTCCATCTCGCCCTCTCTAAAACTTGCCTCTCAAGTAAATAAATAAGTCTTTAAAAAACAAAGGAATATATTCAAACAGGAATTCTAGCTGGGGGAGACAGATGGTAGAGGTAATGAATTATATGATAGAAGAGTTGGGACACAAATAAGAGCAACTTGACCAAGGGAAAGGTGATGGGATGGATTGGGGTTGTTTTTATTTTAAAGCTTGTTTGTTTGTTTTGAAGGTCAGAGTTACAGAGGGGCAGAGAGAGAGCTGTCTTCCTTCTGCTGGTTCATTCCGCAGATGGCGGTAGTAACAAGCACTGGGCCAGGCCAAAGCCAGGAGCCTGGATCTTCTTCTGGGTATCCCAAGTGGATGGCAGGAGCCCAAGCACTTGGGCCTCTTCTGCTTTTCCCAGGCCATTAGCAGGGAGCTAGAAAGGAAGTAGAGCAGCTGGGACACAAACTGGCGCCCATATGGGATGCCAGCTATACAGGTTGGGGCTTTATCCACTGTGCCACAACATTGGCCCTAGGGCAGGAGGGGGTTGGTCATTTTAAATAATATGTCCACACGTGTTGTTTGAGCCACTCTCTAGGCTTCCCATATCTTACTCATTTTGCTGCTTTTATGCCCATGCTTTTCCTTCCTGATTTCAGACAACCAAAAATTCCTGCTTTATGCAGTCTCATAGCACCCGGTGCTTCCTACCCTTTTGTGAAGCCATTACTAGGCTTCTGTTTGTTTAATGTCGGTCTCCCCAGTGACAGTGAGAACTGTGTGTCGTGTTCATTACTTTATACCTAGTGCAGTACCTGGCACAAAGCAGGTGTTCAAATATTTATTGAATGAGTGGATTTTCATTTCATCTTCTCAGATCGGTGCACGGTTCAGTGGGACACAGTTATGTCCAGCTCTGTCAGGAGATGTCGAGGAGCGGCAGCCCTGGTGCAGTCTCTGACGGCTTCATGGGGATTTCCCAGGAGCAGTGGCACGTGCAGGAGGAATAGGTGTAAAGTACAGTCTAGGGAGTCTCTGAATTCAGCCTTGCTGGAGTCTTTGTTGGACAGAGCTGGAAGATGAGGATAAGTCTGAGGGTAATAAGCGTTCGTAGTAAGAACTGTTGCTTGGGCTGGTGCTGTGGCACAGGTTAATCCTCCACCTGCGATGCTGGTTCTAATCCTGGCTGCTCTGCTTCCGATCCAGCTCTGTGCGATGGCCTGGGAAAGCAGTGGAGGATGGCCCAAGTGGTTGGGCCCCTGCACCTATGTGGGAGACCCAGAAGAAGCTCCTGGCTTTGGATCAGCTCAGTTTTGGCCGCTGGGGCCATTTGGGGAATGAACCACAGGATGGAAGACCTTCTTTCTCTCCCTCTCACTGTCTGTAATTCCACCTCTCAAATAAATCTTAAACAAACAAACAAAAAAACAAAACTGTGCTCTCCTCTCAGAGGTAGATAGGTTTGAAATGTATATGTACTAGAGATCTTCAAAACAATTTACAGAAAATGTGTTTGTGAAAAAAACTGCATGGATTTCAAAATTTCTTTGCACCAGAATTTTCTTTAAATTTCATTTCTTCATGAACTTTTTGAAGTCCCCTTTTATAAAAGAATTGACCAGTTAGGTCTCTACAAGTATCAGGTAGTTAACAGTGTTGTAAAACATCTGTTGAATGAGAACTATGTACCAGGCACCATTTTAGGATCAAAGAATACTGACATGATGATGTTGTGGTCTCTGCCTCCAGGTCTGAATACTTTAAGAGGGAGAAAGATTAATAGTGAAGTAGAAGTTTTTTAAGAAGATTGATTCATTTGCAAAGTAGAGAGCGAGTGCTCTTCCATTCACTGGTTCACTCCCCAAATGGCTATCACAGCTGAGGCTGCCAGGCTGCAGCCAGTTAGGCAGGAATCCAGGTGGGGTTCCAGAAGGTCCATCTCCTGCTTCGCAAGGCATACTGGCAGGAAGCTGCGATGGAAGCGGAGCAGCCAGAGCTTGAATTGCCTCTCTGATAGGAGCCTCTGTGTGAAGAAGTCCAGTCAGTGCCTCCGTGGCCCAGTGAAGCTTGAACTTGCTCTGATAAGGTGCGGGGATTCTAGGTAAACAGAGCAGCAAAGGAAAATGAATAAGTCACTCATTTCACTTTACTCAAGAGCAAGAATAATTGAGGTCAAAAGATAGTTTTCTGGAGTTTATATATATGTTAAAGATTTATTCATTTATTTGAGAGGTAGAGTTACAGACAAGGAGAGACAGAGAGGTCTTCCATCTGCTGGTTCACTCCCCAAATGGCCACAATGGCTAGAGCTGGGCTGATCGGTAGTCAGGAGCTTCTTCCAGGTCTCCCAGCCGGGTGCAGGGGCCATCTTCGACTGCTTTCCCAGGCCACTAGTAGGGAATGGGATTGGAAGTGGGGCAAGTGGGACACTGGTGCTGCAGGCAGCGGCTTAACCTACTACACCACAGCACCAGCCCCTGGTTTTTATATTTAACAGGTTGATACTTTTGATAGGAAATGCAGTCTTTATATGTGCAACAATCTTCTGATTGTTCATTCAGTACACACTGAGCACCTGCTTCGTGCCAGGCACTGTAGTCTAGGAAATGATGCTTCCTAGGTTTTGTAGTATAAAGTGCTGGTGGTAATAGTATTCTTTAAAGGATGGTCAGAGAAAGCCTTATTTTGAGCCAGGACCTGAACTCGGCGAGAGTTAGCCTTGGGATTTTCAGAGTAGAGGGACAATTGCTAAAGCTGTCAGGTGTGCATCCTTGTTAAATAATATCAGAGCAATCAAGTGGCTGGAAGCATCTGAGTATGGAGAGAATGGCCAGGGTGTGGTGAGCCATGTAGGCCATTATGGGCTTTGGTTTTTTAGTCTAAGTGAAATGGTTTGAACAGAGAAAGGACAGTACCTGACTTGCATTTTGGAAGGATCACAGATGCTGTATTGGAGACCAGTTTGAAGGTTTTGATCATGCAGGGAGAGGTGGGCGTGGTCTGGACCAAAGTGGTCACAGGGGAGGTGGTGAGAAGTGGGATTCTGGATGTAATTGTGGACTTGAAAGTTGAGGGCCCTCAATTACCTGTCCCTCTTCCCCAAAAGTTTGTTAATGCAAATCTGTGGGAAAGCTGCTTTTCAATACTTTTCTGGGACAGAGGAGGAAATGTGGCATGTAGGGAGAAATGTAAATAGAAGAAAGTAACGATAGAACATGTTGCAACCCCTGAGTTGTCATGTGTCCCTGTGTATGTTTCTCCTGCCAAGTAACTACCAAAGCCCAACAGAAATGCAAATTGATCTTTACAGAAGCTATTCAGTGTCTTGTGAAATGAATATAGTGGAAAACAGGACTCCTAGCCAAAAAGGAAGAATTATTGGTGTGTGGCGAGAGGATATGTCCAATAGTGTATAACATGGAAATAGGAGCTAAGGATTTCATTCTGACTTTTGTTTGCTTATTTCCTATTCCTTTGTATAAGTGTCTTTGCATGGTATTTTAAGAATAAAGGTTGTAAGAAGAAACATTGAAGAATGTCTCAGAAATTTTTATTTTGTATTTAGGTGGTCCAGTGCCAAGAGACATTTATCAGAGGATTAAAAAACTTGAGGATAAAATACTTGAATTGGAAGGCATCTCTCCTGAATACTTTCAGTCTATAGTGAGTATAAGTATCTTTTAAAAATAACTAAAGGCAATATTTTAAGATTCTTCATTGTGTAACATTTCATTCATTGATCTATATGTGAAAACAGTTTTAATAGATAGATGAACGAACACAGTCCCATGTTAGGGGTTTCTTTGAAAACTCCCAATTTTGCATATTTTTAAAAGGATACTTTTATAGCTCTCTCAAATTCTCAGACATGATCCATTTTTGCAGCACAATCTGTCAGCCTGGATAGTGGAGGATGCCATCCCTGTAAACTTGCTATTTTGAATCCGAGGCTTCCTCTGAAACCATGCTTTGTAGTTAGCCCTTCTTTGACTTCATCCCTCTCTCCCCACACACTCCTTCCCTCAACTCATACCTGGTACCTTTCCTCATACCAGACCTCACACTGCCACCTGTTTTACTTAAGTCCTCAGTTCTAGCATTAGTTCATTTTATAGCACTTACCACTTATAATTATGTTTACACATCTGTTTTTCACTCTGTTTTGAAACTCTCAATGGCAGGAACTGTGTCCTCATTCTTCAGTACACAGAATATAGACATGGAGTAAATGTGCAGATGAGTGGATGGGACTGATAGTTTATTATTGGACTTTTGAAAGTGCTCCAAAGCAGAGCCTGGACATAAATTCCAGTCTGTAACGCTAACTCTTGTAAAAAGTAGTATGTGGGGCCAGGAACGCTGCAGGTCAAGTCAGCATCATGCCTGGAGGCCCTTTGTGAGTGAAAGTGAGTGGTGAACCTGAGGCCGGAGCAAACGGTTGAAAGCAGCTGGATACAAATTAGAAAACATTTCAGAGGGCTTTGAAGGTCACATTAACCAGTTTGCACTGTCAGAGTCACTGGAACACATTCTAGTTTTTGAGAGAGTTGTCATCTAGGTCCCCTTCTAGTGGCATTATGAAGTCTGAGTTGGAGAAATTGGAGTCAAGGAAGCGGGACAAAAGAAAAAAGACAAAAAGAAGACAGGGACAAAGTTGGAGAGCAGTGGGACCAGAGGGAACATTTAGGACCTCGGTGTGCAGATTCAGTTGCGCTTTAACCACTTTCTTTGCTTTTAATCAGTTGTAGTCATGGGAGAGGCCTCCTTACTCTTGAGTTTCCTTAGAGCGTGGCTCCCTGGACTTGCATGTTTTCCAGTGGGATGTGGGTATTGTAACCATAGCTAGCCGGTACCTGCTAAGATAAAACAATGGAAGCTGGGTCCCAGCTGTTTCTTTAGTGTGTTGTGCTCACAATTACGTGTTTAGGTGCCCATGCCTGGGTAACCACAGTGCCTGCTACAGTGAATCAGGGTTCATCCCTTGGTCTGGTGCCAAATTCCATTTTCCTCTTTGTTGCTGCTCTGGTTGTTCAGTGTTGTGGGATAGAAAGGTTATAAAAAGGACATTAAGTGAAAATCCCCAGGACACCACCCCCACACTCAGTCTATTAGAAGTGGCCCATAACAGGAGAGTGAGTATGGCAGAGCCGAGTGTGATGCTGCAGTGTCACTATCGTTGGGTACTTCCACTGTCATGATCTTCCGAAGCCAACTTCCCGTTGGTTGCAGATACTGTTTTCTGAGTTTATGGGCATTGTTTCTGTCAGGGTTATTAAAAGCTCTGTGTTCTGTATAGTAATTTCTAAAGGAAAAACGATGCTTACATTAACTAAATATTGAATACTTTTCTTTTAACATTTATTCTAGAACTTTTCTGGAAAAAGAAGAAAAGTTCAACCCCCTCAGGTAAGTTGAATTACTACGTTTTTGTTTTGTCTTCTGAAACTGTTCAGTTTGGTTTTTGTTAAGGTACAGAGGTCTTCCATCGACTGGTTCACTTTCCAGTGCCTGCAACATCTAGAGCTAGGCACTCTCCGTTCAGGTTTCCCAAGTTGGATGGCTGGGACCAGGAACTTAACGCTATTGTCTGCTTCTGCAGACACATTAGCAGGGAACTGGAGCGGACGCAAAGCAGCCCAGGCTTCAGCTGGCACTCTGATACAGGATGCTGGTGTCATAAGGGTAGCTTAACCCACCACCCCAGCCCCTACACTTTGTTTCTAAGATTTATTTATGGGCCGGCACTGTGGTGTATTGGGTAAAGCCACTGCCTGCAGTGTCAGCATCCCATATGGGTGCTGGTTCAAGTCCCAGCTGTTCCACTTCAATCCAGCTCTCTGCTGTTGCCTGGGAAAGCACTGGAGGATGACCCAGGATCTTGGGCCCTTGTACCCATGAAAATCCTGGCTTCAGATGGGTCCAGCTTCAGCCATCTGGGGAAAACCAGCAGATGGAAGACCTCTTTCTAACTGCCTCTCAGATAGAGGTAGAGACAGGGGAAGAGATCCTCCATCTGCTGGTTTACTACAGCTAGGGCGATCTTCTGTTGCTTTCCCAGGCCATCAGCAAGAAGCAACCAGGACCAGGGTTACAGGTAGTGGTTTTACCTGCTAAGCCCAAAGCCCGCCCTCTTACACATGTCAGTAAAAATGTCTTCTGTGGTTGCTTTAAAGTTGGACTCTGCTGAGATTTAGGACTGTACACTTGAATTAGAGAAATGATGTTATGTAGAGGATGTGGAATGACTCAGGTTAAAATTTTTTAAAAACTTCATCCTGCTTTGAATAAGAGGATGTTTTGGTGCAGCTGATGAACTGGTGCCCATATGGGATGGCAGGTTTGAGTCCTGGCTGCTCAACTGCTGATCCAGCTCCCTGCTAATGCATGTGGCAAAGCTGCAGAAGATCGCCCACGTTCTTGGGCCCCTGACACCCATGTGGGAGACCTGGATGGAGTTCCAGGCTTCTGGCCTCAGTCTGGCCTTTGTGTCCATTTTGGGGAATGAAACAGTGGATGGAAGGTCTCTCTGTGATTCTACTTCTCAAATAAGTCTTCAAAACAACAAAGGAATGTGTTTATCAGTTACAAAATGTTAAAAAAAAAATTGCTCAAGTAAATTCAGTCTCCTCTCATTCCCCCTTTTGTGAACACCTCTGATTAGCAGCACCTAAATCAAAAAGGGTGTTTGGCAGCCGTTCTTCTAGAAGTACTACTTGATCATTAGTTGAATCTTAAGTAGTAAGGTTTTGCTAGTCTTCAATAATGGTAATGTAAATAAAGCTGGGAGAAATTAAGGAAATTTTTTTAGGAGTAGTTTATTAGTGAAAATTTTACAATAAGTAAATTTTTTGAAAGCAGCCAATCCCCCTCTGCCCCCGAAGTAGTTGATTGCAGCTGATCCCATAAAAGAAGAGTTTCTAGGTATTTTAAGCAGTGAAGCTACTTTAAGACATTTTTTTAAAAATTTTACTGCCTTTTCAAAATTTCAAGATTCAGAAGAGCTTAGTTATTAGGAAAGAAATATGTAAGACTTGTTATTTTATGCCTGTGATTCAGTCAACCTATATTAGTATTTCAGTCTTAAAATTATTCTTAGGAGAAAAAATTTTATCATGCTATTGAATGTTTTAAATATTTATAGTTCATTTAGCACTTTATCTGCATTAAGATACTTCAGTCTTATTCAGCAATTTATGTTCTTATTGTTTACAGCAGAACTATTCACTGGCTGAACTTGATGAGAAAATTAGTGCCCTCAGACAAGTCTTGCTTAGAAAATCAAGAGAAGCAGAATCCATGGCAACTCACCACCTTCCATGAAAAACTCCTCTCCTTGTCATTTTACTTTTTTATAGACATGTAACACTGTAATTAATGAAACAGATACGTATTTATCAAAGTAGACTTCTGTAAAGTCAAGATTTATTTTCACATGAGTCCAGCTTGCAGTAGGTAATCTTAGCCTTGTTGGAATTTATTCCCTTCTGTTTTAAAGGAGGTATTTTGAAATTACAGAACTTAATTTTATAGCACTTTGTGTGGATGTGTGCTGTAGAAAAAAATGATAGTGATAGTTAAGAGGACTTTATTAATGTTCATGTTAACCAGTTAGTTTAACTCAGTACTTTGCACATAATGGACAGTCAACAAAAGTTTATTGACTGAATTTTAAAGGCATGCATGAAATTTTCTTAAAAAAAAAAAAAAAAAAAAACTTGTCAGGTATCACTGTTAACAAATTTGTTGTCTGTGTGATCTTAATCTCTTTGTGCTTTAACTTCCTCTATCCATAAAATGGGAATGATAAAAATAGAACTTACTTCACTGACTGTTATGAAGAATAAGTGAGATCTTGCATATACAGGGTGAAGCTGTGGGTCCAAAGGGAATTGCTCAGTAAATGGTAGCCATTATATAAAACCAGGTCTGTCTTTGGGCAGTAGTTAAAATGTTACAAAAAGTTATATTGCCATAGTTGCAAATTAGACATTTAAAAGATGCAGCTACAGTTATGTTAAAAGTCTTGATGAAATTGCTATTTAGACCAAGAATTGTTTTGATAAAAGCATCAGGAAGTGTAGCTAAACATTGTAGGATCTAGGAAGTCATTAACGACTGCTCTCTGACCCTAAGCTCCTTGTTTTCTGCTCTTCCTCTCTGTCCCATTACCTGTGTCCCTGTGTCGAATCCCCGATGCATCTACTTTATTCTCTCTGTGGGCTGGTTTTGCTGAAGGCCTCTTCATTCTGCTTTCCCCATGGGGTAACAAATCAGTGCTGACCCCACAGCCTCTGCTTGTAAAACTCTGACCTCGACTCCGTGCAGTGACTACGGCTTACCTCAATCCGTACGAATTCCAGTTCTTCAGAGGACCACATGCGACTCCACGTGAGCGGGCATCTTTTGACAGCTGTGACCAGGAAGATGGGCCAGGACATTTTCATAGGACGATGCATTGTACACACCACCTTGTTCAGTAGCCTTGAAAATGTATGTAGTCACCTGAATAAAAAAATAAGGGATTTGGAATCATTCCCCAGAAACAGGAGCTGTGTTGATTTTACTGATGTATTACCACTTATTATTTCCAAACATCCTTCAGGATTCTCTAGCCAAACGTGATCCAGTATGGTAGGTACAGCTGCAAATGCCTGCTCCCTGGTCTCCATCTGGTCCGCGTGCGCACTGTCCTGCTGGGACATCCTCCAGGTTTAGTGAGTCTGCTACCACCTCACCAGTAACACAGTAGACAAAAAGGCAGGAAAAATGACCACTTAGAAAAGGAGATCCTGGCTGGCGCCAAGGCTCACTGGGCTAATCCACCGCCTGCAGCGCCGGCACTCCAGGTTCCAGTCCTGTTGCTCCTCTTCCAGTCCAGCTCTCTGCTGTGGCCCGGGAGTGCAGTGGAGGATGGCCCAAGTCCTTGGGCCCTGCACCCGCATGGGAGACCAGGAGGAAGCTCCTGGCTTCGGTTCGGATCAGCGCAGCTCCGGCCGTAGCGGCCCTTTGGAGGGTGAACCAACAGAAGGAAGACCTCTTCAAACTCTGCCTGTCAAAAGAAAAAAAAAAAAAGGAGATCCCTTGGAGGAAGGGAAGAAACTAGAAAAGAGGATCAGGTACCAATCACTGGGCCAGCCCAGTAAATACCAGGCATCGTTACCTTTGCCGCCAGTAAAATAAGTTCCCAGGTTGAGATGGACAGCCAGCGCTAGGTTCTGTCGGAAGGCTTTCCTTTGTCCGTTGTCCTGCAGGCCTGCTCTTCGGAGGGACGCCGGAGAGGAATCTTCTGCACTGCAGTGCGTGTTGTCTGGTGCCGGCATCCTTTTCTACTTGAGTCTGCAGCCTGCAGATGAGTCTGCAGCCTGCAGAAGAGACCAGGACTCGGCACCCTGTTGGTATCAGTGGAGCTGCTTGTTCAAGACTAAGGTTTCTTCGGGAGTAACTGCCCCAGAACTTTCGCAGGCTTTCAATCTTTTTTGAGTGCATCGTTGACTGAAAGGTGAAGTCAGGAATCTCTGTGGGATAAATTTGTTCCTTCACTCACTAGGCTACCTAATGACTGTTCCTGCAAGGTTTTTGTTATTCAGCTCTTCTTACCCCTGGCTGCTTCCTTATGGCCTTGTCCTCAAGAGAAAAGAGGCAGGCAAGTGGTTGGAAAGAGGCTGCTCTTGCAGGCATGGGAAAGCACCCCCCACCCCCACCCCGGTCAGCCCCTGTGCACACCACCGCTTTGCAGGCTACGAAGGTGTTTTGCAACATGTGGACAAGAGGCAGCATTGTACATCAACATGTTCATCCCAGGGAAAAGTGCTGGCCCTCCCAAACACTGCTAGACAGTCTGAATTATTAGCCTCCTGAGCTTTTCTCAACTCCTAAATACCACCCAGATTTGGTCTGAACACAATCCTAGCGGAAAAGACTTCCCTGTAGGAAACATGGGTAACTTTCTTGGTTTTCCCCATTTTCAGCCAAATGCCTGACCACACGGTACACATTCAAGCTGTATTTGTTAATGGTTTTGCCACTGGCACCAGTTACCTGCAAAGTACCAGCTGCCACGGAGCAGGAAGTCTGCTCGCCCCATCTTTATCTGGACCACGCAGCTAGTTCACGTCGCCACTCCGATCCCTTAGGCAGTGCCTTTCCTGGCACCAACTCCTGTTTCAGGGATTTGTTGCCAAGAAATGGGAACCCAATTCCAAAATAAAGGGGTATTACAAAGAACGTGGAGAATCCAAATTGCAGCAGGTTTGGCTAGGTTCTGTGACCTTGTGTCCTGTGAGGGACACTTGTGGGTTCCTTTGTAGCCTGGCAGCTTCAGAGACCTCTTCTCTCCTGCTTGGCAGCTTAGGCTTGCTCAAGGCTTTGGGCTCCACGGTGCTGCTGGGTCTGACCTACCTCTTGGGCTCAGGTGCCCCGTTTCAAAATCTGGATAAAGAGTAATTCATATTGAGGTCACCTGTCTACCCCAGAACAATTGGCTGCAGCTTCAGTGGTAGGATCTCCAAGAAAACAAACAGCAACACATACCTAAGTCCTTCAGGGAACGAAGGGCACTTCAAAGAAAGCGTGGGCTGAGAGCCCCTTGACCCTGCCATTTATTTTTTTAAAGAATTATTGGGGGCTGGTGCTGTGGTGTAGCAGCTAAGGCTGCCGCCACCTCCGCCTGCAGTGCAGACATCCCATGTGTACGCTAGTTCAAGTCCCGGCTGCTCCACTTCTATCCAGCTCTCCTGCTATGGCCTGGGTAAGTAGTGGGAGATGGCTCAAGTCCTTGGCCCCTGCACCCGCATGGGAGACCGAGAGGAAGCTCCTGGCTTCAGATCACAGCTCTGGCCGTCGCGGCCAGAGTGAACCAGCTGATGGAGGACCTCTTTCTGTGCCTTTCCTATTCTGTGTAACTCCCTGACTTTCAAATAAATAAATCTTTAAAAAAATTACTTTGAGGCTGGCACTGTGACATAGCAGATTGAAGCATTGCTTGCCATGCCAGCATCCCATACAGCCACCGGTTCAAGTCCCAGCTGATCCACTTCTGGTCCCGCTCCCTGCTGATGGCCTGGGAAAGCAGTGGAAGGTGACCCAAGTGCTTGGGCTCCTCTACCTGTTTAAGAGACCCAGAAGAAGCTTGGCTTCAGACTGGCCCAGCTCCGGCTGTCACAGCCATTTGGGGAGTTAACCAGTGGATGGAAGATCTTTCTCTACCTCTGCCTTTGTAACTCCACCTTTCAAGTAAAGCGAGAGAATTTTCCGACTGATGGTTTACTCCCCCACCAAATGGCCATAATGGGTAGAGCCGGGCCAGCTGAAAACAGGAGGCTGGTGCTTCTTTGGGTTTCTGTAGGTATAGGGGCTCAAGCTCTGGGGCCATCTTCCACTGCATTCCCAGGCACATTAGCAGGGAGCTGATCACAGTGGAGCAACCAGGATTGGAACTGGTGACTATATGAGATGCTGGTCTCGCAGGAGGAGGGCTTTACCCATTACACCAGCCCCAAAATTTACTTTAAAAATAAAGTGGGGCCAGCGTGTGGCACAGTGGGTTAAGCCACTGCCTGCGGTGAGAGCATCCCATATCAGAGTGCCAGTTTGTATCCTGCCTGCGCCACTTCCGATCCAGCTCCCTGCTAGTGCACGTGGAAAAGCAGTGGAAGATAGCCCAAGGTTTTGGGCCCTGCCATCCATGTGGGAGACCCTGTTGGACTTCCTGGCTCTCTTTTTGGTCTGGCCCAGCCCAGGCCATTGCAGTCATTTCAGGAGTGAACCAGTGGATGGAAAACTCTGCCTTTCAAGTAAATAAAATAATTTTCCCCCACCCCCACCAAAAAAAATTTAAAAACAACCACAATGGAGGGAAGATATTTAGCAGGGTGTTAAGGTGTCATTTTTGATGCCCACTTCCTATATCACAGTGTCTCAGTCTGAGTCCCAACTCCAGTCCGATTCCATTTATTTATTTATTTATTTTTTTGACAGAGTGGACAGTGAGAGAGAGAGAGAGAGAGAAAGGTCTTCCTTTGCTGTTGGTTCACCCTCCAATGGCCGCCGCAGCCAGCACGCTGCGGCCGGTGCACCGCACTGATCCGATGGCAGGAGCCAGGTACTTCTCCTGGTCTCCCATGGGGTGCAGGGCCCAAGCACTTGGGCCATTTTCCACTGCACTCCCTGGCCACAGCAGAGAGCTGGCCTGGAAAAGGGGCAACCGGGACAGAATCCGGCGCCCCGACCAGGACTAGAACCCGGTGTGCCGGCGCTGCAAGGTGGAGGATTAGCCTAGTGAGCCGCGGCGCCAGCCCGATTCCAGCTTGTTAATTAGCAGTGTAGGAGGCAGCAGCAGTGGCCATGTGGGGTGCCCTGTAGTCTGCTGCACCACAGGGCCAGCCCCGCACAACTGTTTAAAATATTAACTATAACAATGATGAAATCACCTAACAGGATAATGTCCTAGTAAAATACATGAGCACTGTTACAGCATCCTTCAGTTTTCATATAACATTATCAAAGTCTTACATTAGCTTTGAAGAGGGCTTCAAAGTCTGCAGAGAGACCATCTTTATTTTTTAAGCTTTCATTTCTGCCCATAATAGCAAGCAGAAGAAAACAGTTAGGTCTCTGATTATTAAAGCAGTCAGGAGGTACATGCACAGGGTCTAGCACTGTAGACCGCAATGGTGTGGTGAAGTTGGTATGTAAGCACAATCTCAGACCATGAGTTTTCTTAAGCACAGGTGTGTGAGCTGTACTTTCCCAAACAGGGAGTTGTGAGATTCTTACCCAGGTGCTCAATAAGAAGGGCATAATTGTGCAATGTTGTGTGACAAGGACTGTGACCATCTAATTTTGCTAAAAGGATGGTATGTGTATTCCTTCATCTTTGATGATGCTTATCAAAAGTGTTGGATATATTTCCCAAGTTGAAAAATTTTAAAAAGTAGCTATGAACACAATACACAAGACTGAAAAGAACAGTATAGAAATGAAAAAGATATTTGGACTAACCATTCTAATTGGTGCTTATAAACTTAAAAATAAAAAAAGTCAGTTTCAGAAGGTACTGCCCTTTAGCAATGCAAGTACAAGAAGATCTGGAAGTAATGACAAACTAGAACCAAACAGAAATGTATTTGAAATCTGGAATGCGCGTTACTTACATTTTAACTGACACTGCCCATTTCAAGAGTGTGTACTTTCAAAGTACGCACTCAAAGTACTTTCAAAGTACACACTCTAAGTACTTTCAAGTCTTTGATATCCTATCTACAATAGGATATCAAAGTTGTATACTGTGTTTAAATTCTTACTGTAATTTCTGTAAATTTTTCAAATGACTAAATTTATTTTAGATATATTGGAAGTAGATGGTAAATGCTGGTGATTATTCTTCCTGGTATATGGAGAATTAAGATGTATTTTTAAAGTCCAAATTCCTAATATTACATTTTTTAAATCAGATTTATAGAGGTGGGCATTGTGGTTCAGTGGGTTAAGCTGCCACTTGGGGCACTCACACCCCATCTCAGAGTGCCTGGTTTGAGTCCCAGCTACTCCACCTCCAGTCCAGCTTCCTGCTAATGTGCACCCTGGGAGGCAGAAGATGATGGCTCAAGTACTTGTGTGTCTGTCATCCACAGCTTTGGCCTGGCCCAGCCCCAGCTATTGTGGGCATTTGGGGAATGAACTAACAGATGGAAGATCTCTCTCTCCTTCCTACTCCGTCACTCTGCCTTTCAAATAAAAATAAACATTAAAAAATGTCAAATATAGTTAGACAACATAAAATCACTTTGAGAGTAGTTCCAAGAAAACTGAATATACGTGAGATCTCTCCAAAGTTTCTCCAGGAAACTCAAGTGGAGAAGAGTGAATAAAAGGCATGAGGAAATTGTCAGACTGCAAAACGTTCACTTGCTTCTACTTTAAAAGAAAAACATTTAAGCAGCCAGCAAATTTCTCTCCCTTTGTTAAGGACACATATTCAGTGCTAAAACAGAAATGCGCTCTCAGGGGCTGGTGCGGCAGGTTAAGCCACCTGCCCGTGACACTGGCATCCCACATGGGTGCCCTGTTGTCCTGTCTGATCCAGCTTCCTGCCAGTGTCCCTGGGAAAGCAGAAGATGGCCTAAGTGTTTGGGCCTCTGCACTCACGTGGGAGACCCAGATGATGCTCCAGGCTCCTGGGTTCAACTAGTCTGAGGGCCCGCTGTTGGCAGCCATTTGGGGAGAGAACCACCGATGGATGGACAATCTGCCTTTTTAAACAGATAAATCTTTAAAAGAGAAAGAAGTGAGCTATCAAACCATGAAGAGCATGGTGGCAACAAAGTAAAAGAAACCAATCTGGAAGATACTGTACATTCTGACTAAATGGCATTCTGGAAAAGGCAACACTATGGCAAAAGAAATCTGCAGTTAGCAGCGTTGGGTGTGGGAAGGTGAGGAGCCGGGATGCATAGGCCAAGGGTAGAGGGATTTTAGGACAGTGAAAATACTGTGATACTAAAGTGATAGATTCACATCGTTATGTGTCAGCCAAACACTCGTAGTGCACAACACCAAGAGTAAACCAACCCTAATGTACACTGTGGATATAGGGCAAAAATGACCTAGCAGTGTAAGTCCATCAATTATAACATGCACCACTCTGGTGGGGAATGTTTTGTTGATAATTGAGGAGCGTGGGGAATCTGTACAGGTTGAATATCCTATGTCTGAAATGCCTGGGACCATAAGTGTTTTCAATTTCAAAAAAATTTTGTTTTGGAATATCTATTACACAGTGAGGTATCTTGGAAATGGGACCCAGGTCTAAACACACAGTTCATTTCTGTTTTGTATACACTTTATACATAGAGCCGAAAGTAATTTATACAATATTTTTAGTGCACCTGCACCTTGACCTATCACATGAGGTCAGATGTGGAGTTTTAATTTCTTTACTTCTTTATATATAAAGGGAACAAATCTCACATATTCTATATGTAGTTTTGAGAGCATAACAACTTCTCACCCTGGTTTTTTTTTTTTTTTTTTTTTTTTTGACAGGCAGAGTGGACAGTGAGAGAGAGAGACAGAGAGAAAGGTCTTCCTTTGCCATTGGTTCACCCTCCAATGGCCGCTACGGCCGGCGCACCGCGCTGATCCGATGGCAGGAGCCAGGTACTTATCCTGGTCTCCCATGGGGTGCAGGGCCCAAGCACTTGGGCCATCCTCCACTGCACTCCCTGGCCACAGCAGAGAGCTGGCCTGGAAGAGGGGCAACCGGGACAGAATACGGTGCCCCGACCGGGACTAGAACCCAGAGTGCCGGCGCCACAAGGCGGAGGATTAGTTTAGTGAGCCATGGCGCCGGCCCTTTTTTTTTTTACAGACATTTTTAATTTACCTTATAATCACAAGCTTATCCCTCCAATAAAAATTTAGCAAGTAGTAAATCAAAAAACCGCTCTTCCTCAGGAGAATAGACAACAACTATAAACAGTTATCTAATCTCAAAATGTCAATTTCACTCACCTTACATTATTGTTCTCTACATTCATTAACACAAATTGGGAAAACCATGGTATTTGTCTTTTGGGGATTGGTTTATTCACTGAGCATTAAGGTCTCCAGTTGCATCCATTTTATTGCAAAAGACAGGATTTCGGTTTTTATGGCTGAGTTGTATTCCAGTGTGTGTATACACACCACAGTTTTAGCCAGAATTTCCTAGTTGTGTAAAAGTTTCAGATTTTGAAGCATGTCAGATGTGGGCTTTCCAGATTATGGATGCTCAACCTGTACCTTCAATTTTGCTGTGAACCTAAAATTGTTCTTACAAAAAAAAAAAAGTCTTTAGAAAATTTAGGGACAATTTCAAAAACTATCCTCATAGGATGTTTCAAATGTTATTTTAACTCACAGCTTTGTTGAGCATAGCACTGGCTGGGAAGCCTCACTGTTGCTAAGTACTATGTTTTTTAAAAAATATTTTAATAGTTTAAGCTGCTGACATAGTCTCGATATAAATCCTTTATCAGAGAAGTAGCTTGCAAATATTTTCTCTTCAGTGTGTTGCTTATTTCCTTTGCTGTGCAGAAGCTTCTGGGTTTGATATCTCGTTTGTCTAGTTTCGCTTTTGTTACTTGTGCTTTGGGGCTCTTATCTAAGAGCTCATCACTTATACCAATGTCTTGAAGTGTTTCCCTTACATTTTTTCCTAGCAATTTCACGGTTTCGGATCTTACATCTATATCTTTGATCCATCTTGAGTTGATTTTTGTACACGGTGAGAGGTGGGGATCTAATTTCATTCTTTCTACAGGTAGACATCGAGTTTTGCCGGTAACATTTATCGAAAGAGCCATCCTTTCTCCAGCCTATTGGTTGTCTGTACATATATGGATTAACTTCTGGGCTCCTTATTCTGTTCCACTCATCTTTGTGCCAGACTTGATGCCAATACCAAGCTACCTTAATTACTACAGTAGCACACTCTGAAATCAGGTATTGAGATACCTCCAGCTCAATTATATCCTCCCCCACCCCCCTCAAGACTGCCTTGGCTGTTCTGGGCCTTCTATGATTCTGTATTAATTTTAGGATTGTTTCTTACTCTGTAAAGAATTTCATTGGTATTTTGATAAGGATTGCATGGAATCTGTAATTACTTAGTTTAGACCTTTAATTATAATTCTTCTAATCCATGAGAAAGGAATAGCTTTTTTTTTTTTTTTTTTGGCCTTGCTTTCTTTCATCAACATTTTATAATTTTCATTGTAGAGATCTTTCACTTCTTTGGTTACAGTTATTCCTAAATATTTTTTGGTAGCTATTGTGAGAATAGGATTTCTTTTCCGATTTTGTTCCGTGAGATCGTTGTTGGTGCCGAAGAATGCTACCTATTAAGATTTATTTGAAAGGCAGAGAGACAGAGACAAAGGGAAGGACAGAGAGAGAGATCTTCCATTTGCTGGTTTACCCCACAAATGGCCACAGGGGTCAGGCCAAAGCCAGGAGCCCAGAGCTCCAAATGTGTCTCCCATGTGGGCGGCCAGGGCCCCTGCACTTAGGCTATCTTCTCCTTTCCTGGGTTCATTAGCAGGGAGCTGGAATGGCAACAGGAGCCAAGACTCCAACCAGCACTCCTACAAGAGCTACTGGTTCTAAGTGAGCCCAGGAATGTAACCTAAGAGTGACTTAAGTGGCAATCAGTGTCAGCAGTGTCTACATGAGCCATGGTTTAGGCTAGTCTGCTACAGTTTGTGGAGGCAGAACTTCCTAAAGGTGCACCTCTTCAGCCCACAGAGTTGAGTTTCACTCACACTAGGGTTTCTGATGGCTGTCACATTTCCGGCGCTGTGGGCCACAGCGGAGTCTGTCCCCTTGTCCTGACAGGCAAGCATGAATGATGCTGTGGCTGTGGCACCAATAGCTAGGGCCCCTTGGGCTGTATGACGTGGATACACCTTTCTGCAAGTCCTGCTGCGTGGACATCACTACTGCTGGGTCTTAGAGCACCAGGAGTCCAAGTCCCACCCCTGGGAGGTATCAAGTGGAACCTGCCCCAGTCCTAGAGGGTAAAGCCCAGTTATGCTGAGCTTTCTTACTGACAGGTATGGGTCTGCAAGACTAAAATGCAGGTAGGTTCTCCCCTAGATGCCTGGGGTTTGTCCCAATGACTGAGGAATCTAGCACTAGTAGTCACAGTCCCAGAGCTGCAGAATACCATGGGCTCCTTACCCAGGCCTCACTGGCTGCGTGCCAGGTATTCCAGGCACAGTACACTGGTAGTCACCAGCTGGAAGCAGAGGCAGTAGGCAGGGCCCCCGAGAGCCCACAGGTGAGTGCAAGCTACTCCAGGGGTTCCAGCACCAGCAGTGACAGTCCAGGAGTGAGTGGGAGGGCACAGAGCAGGTTGTCCCCGTTTCCTGCAGGGGAGGCTAGGGTGATGCGGGGGCTGGCACTCTGGTACCCAAGTGCCCTATGTTAAGAGCTGCAGAGGGGGTTTGGGTCCTCAAGGGTTGCATATGGGCTGCTACTGGCAACTAGCCCCAAGAAGCTACTGGCAGCATCCCTAGATGACCAGAACAAGCAAATGTAGCCCCAGGATTTGTGAATCCTGCAACTGGGGGAGCTCTGGGCACAGGAGCTCGCTCTCTGCCCCGGGAAGTGCCCGCGCTGAGTAGTGTAGGAGCTTCTGGTAGTGTGGCAGCTGCTTGCTTCCTCCTAAGACAGCTGGCATCTAGCAGCTTCTAACACTTCCGGGCACTTTGGGGGCAGAGGGAGGCAGTGCGGTTCCTTCTTTGGATTGAAGTAGTCTCCTGGACCCCAATTACACTTCTAGACTTTAAGTCCCTGAGGCCTGTGGCTTTCTCCCATCCTTAGCGCTGCCCATCTACAGCAGTGGCGGGGGCCAAAGGCCTTTCCCACTTACCCCCAGCAAGATGGCGCTCCCAGCAGCAGCACTGGGGAAGGAAGGGCGGGCTGCGGCTCAGGTGTTGGTCGTTCCTCTCTCCCCACTGGACTTCCGCGTCTCTTTGTTGTTGCAGATCCTGTCACTTCCTTCCTGAAGCTTTCCCTCAGTCCCTGGCAGCTGTAACACTGCAGTCAGAGCCCTGTTCCATCCAAGATGGCGTCCCCTGACTGGGGACCCAGGATGCTGGTGGGGGGCGCTGAGGGAGGCGGTGGCGGCTGCAGGTTGGAGTCTCTGTGCCACTCGCTATTCTCATCACTTGTTTACTGAAGCATTCCTTCAGTCAGGGCCAGTTCCGAGGTTCTGTATACAGAACCGTTTTCCCAACAAGATGGCGTCGCCCGCGGGGGTGCTTAGGTCGGAGTGGAGCAGCCGCGGCCCAGCAGCAGCAGGCCCTGTCTCTCTCCGCGGGTTCGCCGAGCGGCCCTGCAGTGTGCCGTTCCCGTCTCTCCTCTAGTGAGGCTTTTCCCGGGTCTTCTGGAAATACGGCTCTTCCCTCGGCGTTCTGAGACAGGCACATCCCTCCGCCCAGCCATCTCGATCGCACTCCTACACTTCCGTCTTTAAGTCGGCTTTCTAGGACTGGTCTTTACACTGATCTGATTCACTGGGAAACAGGGTTTCTTCAAGTTATCTTAAAATTCAAAGTCCAAAAACTGATATGATTTTAGACTACCAGAGCCGGTAAATAATGGGTTTTTTGCCATCCTTGAGTTGTGAAATTAGGAGCCCATTTTTAAAGAATAGGGCGAATTCTTTCAGACATACAGAAGATAAAAGCTCAGTCGTGTCCTGCAACCTAGATTTAAATTTGTCATATTTGCTTCAACTTTTTATTTTTGAAGAACTAGGCCAACTATAAATACACATAAAGTCTCTTTCGCTTCTTTTTGTCACAGGAAATCAGGATCCTGAGGTTCATTTGCATCATTTTATGCATTTTTAAATGGGTTTTTGGGTAATGTCCATAATTCCATCTATTTGAAATTTGCTATTTCTCACTGGACATCTTTTTGTTTTAACCATATTGATTTACATAGGGCTACTTTACCTACATTAACTGCTGTTCAACATTTCAGATACATAAATAATACGTGTTCATTTCCCAAACAAAAAATGCCTGGACTGCTCGCACCCTGCAAGTGTGGTGTGGCGCACTGACCTGTGTGTGGCGCACTGACCAGGGTGGGAAGCTTTCCAGGGGCAGTTTCCAGCCTTAGCAAACGCCTTACCCCAGGGCATGCGATTTTCGAAGTGGATTAACAAGTAATTCACGTATTACAGAGGAAACCAAACATGTCCAGTGATAGCAAACCATATCCACGCCTGAAATGCAGGTTCCAGTCTGAACTGTGGCAGTCTGCTTGCATCATCTCAGTTCATTTCCACATTTAGGCTTCAATAGCTTGGCAATTATGCTTTGATGCGGCTTCAGAACTCCAGCCTTCACGTGGTGACCCGTTAAATAGCAGCCATTCACCCTCTCTCTTGTCTGCTGCTCAGAACCCTGATCTCACGTCTCTGTCTCAGTCGCAGGAGAGGCAGACGAACTCTAATACCAATTAACAAATCTGGGGGGGGGGGGATAACACTGACACTTGAAAGGTCGTGATCTTCGACCTCCAGGATAAAATCTGGGAAAAGGAAATCAAAAGAGCTGCCTTTTAGTCTTTTGCCTGAAGCTATTGGCCCAATGTAATAATGTGATAAAAAATTACGAAAAATTTATTTATTCAATAAATATTGATTGCCAAGCACTGTACTGGGGCTAAGTGTACACAGATCTATTAAACAGATGAGATTTCTGCCCTCGTAAGCCGAAACTAGCGTACGTCTCCTCCATAGTACCGACAGCAGCCCAAGAAACTAGGGGTGATCTAGAAATGCCCAAGAAACCTAACAAGGTGATTCGTTTATAAGAGAAAATAAATCAGGAAAGCTTAACGTTAGACTTTGTATATCCTTTATGCAGCTGCGCTATAGGATTTATAGAACACTCAGCCGGCTTAAACTGAGTTTCTTATTACACAGAGGGAAGCCGGTTAATTCCCAAGTTCACCGAGACCTGGGTTCTGGCCAGGTTTCGGCTCTGTCGCCTGCAGGCCCCCTCCAGTGTCCCATCAGGTAAAGCAGTTCAGGACAGCAAGAGCAGCAGGGCCTCTGCAGGTGTCTCCTCCTTGAGCAGGCACCCTCACCCCTCACAGGCCACAGTTGCATCCTGTGCTTCTCTGAACCAGTCCCAGGCTAGGGTGGCTACATTTTCATGATTGGCTTAGACCAATTTAGCTCAATGAAAAATACTGAGGCTCCATAGGCCAAACGTTGTCCAAGTGAGGGGCAAAAATAAACACAAACACGCAAACAAGCAAAAGGAAGGCGAGCCCTGGACAAAGCTCAGTGGTATACCAACAGTGACAAAAATCAGGAGTTTAAATCTGTGTGTTAAGAAAGACATACCGGGGCTGGTGCTGTGGCATAGTGGGTAAAGCTGCCGCCTGCAGTGCCAGAATCCCACAGGGGCTCCAATTCGAGTCCTGGCTGCACCACTTCCGATCCAGCTCTCCGCTATGGCCTGGGGAAGCAGAAGATGGCCTAGACACTTGGGCCCCTGCACCTGAGTGGGAGACATGGAAGCAGCTCCTGGCTTTGGATTGGCCCAGCTCTGGACATTGTGGCCAACTGGGCAGTGAACCAGTGGATTGAAGACCTCTCTCTCTCTGCCTCTGCCCCTCTGTAACTCTGCCTTTCAAATACATAAATCTTAAAAAAATAAAGATATTACCAGAGGGTCTCACTCACATGTGCAATCTGTAAAGCTGACCACACTGTGTACTTCAGAGAAGCTGTAAGAAAGGAGTCTGAAAGTTTTCACCATAAAGAAATGATAAATGGGGGCTGGCACTGTAGTGTAGAGGGTGAAGCTGCCGCCTGCAGTGTCAGTAATCCCATTTAGGCACCAGTTCGATTCCCGGCTGCTCCACTTCCGATACAGCTCTCTGCTATGGCCTGGGAAAGCAATGGAAGATGGCCCAAGTCCTTGGGCCCTGCGCCCACATGGGAGACCTGAAGAAGCTCCTGGCTTCAGATCGGCGCCGCTGCAGCCATTGAGGCCATCTGGGTAGTGACCCAGCAGATGGAGGACCGCCCCCCCTTCTCTCTCTGCCTCTGTAACTCTTTCAAATAAATAAATAAATCTTAAAAAAAAAAAAAGAGAGAGAAATGATGAATGCTTCAGGAGTGAGATTTGGTTACCCTGATTTGAAGATTACACAGTATGTACCTGTATATAACATCACATGGTATGAAGTATATATATCAATTTAACATTAAAAATTCATTTTTAGGGGCCAGCACTGTGGCTCACTTGGTTAATCCTCCGCCTGCGGTGCACGTATCCCATATGCGTGCCGGGTTCTAGTCCCAGTTGCTCCTCTTCCAGTCCAGCTCTCTGCTGTGGCCCGGGAAGGCAGTGGAGGATGGCCCAAGTGCTTGGGCCCTGCACCCGCATGGGAGACCAGGAGGAAGCACCTGGCTCCTGGCTTTGGATCGGTGTAGCACTAGCCGAAGCGGCCATTTGGGGAGTGAACCAACGGAAGGAAGACCTTTCTCTCTCTCTCACGATGTATAACTCTACCTGTCAAATAAAATTCATTTTTAGTTTTTATTTCAAAGTTACTTTGTTAAAGATCTATTTACCATTTGTTTGAAAGGAAGAGTGATAGAGACAGAGAGAAAAGACAGTGAGAGAGAGAGAGAAACGTTTTATCGGCTGGTTCAGTCCCCAACAGTCAGAAATAACCAAGACTAGGCTAGGCCAAAGCCAGGACCTAGAACTCTGTGTGCTTTTCACTTGTGAGTCACAGGAATGCAAGTCCTTGAGCTGTCAGCTGCTGCTTTCCGGGGTGCAGCGGCAGGAAGCCGCATTAGAAGCAGAGTAGCCAGGACTTGAACCAGGCACGCCAGTGCGGAACACAGGCTCCCAAACAGCAGCTCAACGTGCTGTGCCACAACACCTGCCCCCAAAATGGAGAATTTCCACCAATAACTGAAACTTAGACATTATGTAAATCCAACAGATTTGCTTTCACTATTTGCATCTGAATATACCATTTACCTGCAATAGAGAGACAAGATAAATGTCAGGAAATTCCTATTCTCCATCAACCACAGATCTTCCTGATATGTTCTTGCTCTCAGCAAAATAATTACAAATCTGAAACTTCAAATGGGAAATTAAAAATTAGGCATCACTCAATAATTACTCTTTATTGGGTCATCAAAGAACACCAGCACTGCAAGAACATTCTTTTTCTTTTGAGAATAAGAGTAGGAGTGGGTGTTTAGCCCAGCGGTACAACGTTCACGGCCCACATTGGGGGGCCTGCCTTTGATACCTGGCTCCAGCTCCTTCCTCCTCCTTCCTGGTAACGCAGACCCTGGCTAGCAGTGATGACCGGTCAGTAACTGAGTCTCTCCCATGCATGTTCCGGAGTCCTGTCTCCAGCCCCAGCCCAGCCCAAGCCACTGCAGGCATCCAGGGGATGAACACTCAGGTGGGAGAGCTCTTTTTCTGTCTTGCAAATGAATGTTTTTCAAAAATAAATAAAATTTATCCTTTTTATAATCTTCCAAATCCAGTTTTATGTTTTGTATCAATGATCAGTACAGGAATGCCTTTGGGATTAAGTAATGCTGCTGACAATAGGGAAATAATCCCTATTATAATAATAATCCCTAAAATAATAATAAAAATAAATAAAAATAATAAAAAATAATAATAATCCCTAAAATCTGTTTTCAAAGTGCTGTCTCCACATTAGTCTGATTTATAGCTCATGCTTTCTCTGGGAAGCAGTATGCAATTCATCGGATTCCTCATTTTTTTTTTTTTTTAGATGTGTGAACCGAGATGTGTTAAAAATTAAAAGATTCAGGCCAGCGCCGCGGCTCCCTAGGCTAATCCTCCGCCTTGCGGCACCGGCACACCGGGTTCTAGTCCCGGTCGGGGCACCGTATTCTGTCCCGGTTGCCCCTCTTCCAGGCCAGCTCTCTGCTGTGGCCAGGGAGTGCAGTGGAGGATGGCCCAAGTGCTTGGGCCCTGCACCCCATGGGAGACCAGGAGAAGCACCTGGCTCCTGCCATCGGATCAGCGTGGTGCGCCGGCCGCAGCTCGCCGGCCGCGGCGGCCATTGGAGGGTGAACCAACGGCAAAGGAAGACCTTTCTCTCTGTCTCTCTCTCTCACTGTCCACTCTGCCTGTCAAAAAAAAAAAAAAAAAAAAGAAAGAAAAAGAAAAAAAGTATTAAAAGATTCGCCCAAGGTTTCATGACTAAGTTATTAAACAATCAGGATTAGGGACCCGTTTGGCCACCAAGTTAAGACGCCTGTGTCTCGTAACGAAGTGCGTGAGTTCTGTACCCCTCTCCTCCTCCAGCTCCAACTTCCTGCTAACGCAAACCCTGGGAGGCAGCAGTGTGGGCCCAGATAACTGGGTCCCTGCCACCCACAGGCGAGACCCGGATGGTGTTCCCGACTCCTGGCTTCGGTGCACGCAGCCATTGCTCCCACTCAATGGCAGTGCTCACTCGCTCAGTTTCACAAATCAAAATTTTTAAAAGAATCAGGATTAAAACAGAATTGCCCGAGTCATAATCTAAGACTTCTGAAGTCAGTTAACAAAGTTTTGTGTAACTTAAAATTATTTAGTACTGCTAAAGATATCAGAAACGAAGAACCATCAGACTCATTTCTGAGTAAATTAAAATATAATATCTCCTTTTGGATCTCACTTCCTCCAATCTAGCCCAAGATTTTAGGTCCTTGAAAGTTAGGGACCTTAGATTCTTCTTAGGTTCAACTATTCCTTTTCCTAATGTTCCTCTCACCCTCCCCTATTAAAAATTGCTATATATTCCATCTTGGAATTGCGTAAGCCTTGATCTGGACACTTGGGGACTTTAATTCCCATTCAAAGAGTTCTGAAAACATCAAAAATCAAAAGGAACAAGACTACCTCGACATGGGCTCTCAAAGACAAAGTTCAGAAAAACCTCACTAGAAGGGGCCTTGGGTTGGCAAAAGGACCCTTTCCGCTTTCCCGGATCCCAGAGAAGAGAACAGCTCAGAAATACAGTCCGGCTTTGCCCCTGCCTCTCAAAGGCAACTAGCCACTGACAGGAAATAAAACAAAACAGGGTTAAAGAAGATATTCTCCGACGAAAACGAGAAGAGGGGAACAAAACTTCCCTTCAGAGACTTGACAAGTCATCCACCTTTGGCAATGGAGATCACAGCTCTAAAGCACTTCGTGATTGAACCCGACTCCTCTATCCAGGGTACCCTGGGAGTCGCCCCTCAGCTGCCTCCAGCCCTCGCAGACTCACCGCTTCCAGAACTAAGCGCCTGACGTCTCCTCTCACCTGCTCCAGCCACCCTTCCACCTCCCTGAGCGCCAACTCCTTTCTTTCTAGAGTCTCCGATCAAAATCCCCGGGGGCCATCTTTCCTTCGGATCTCCGAGCCTGCATTGCATTTGTCAAAACATGCTGCTGTCCCTACCTTCAAACCGTACGCAGGCCCTGGCCGTGTCATCACGTGGCTGCGACTGTCAGCCGCCATCGTACTAGCCCCTCTATGGTGCCCGTCGGGCCCTGCCTTTCCGCTCTGTGTGGAACACGCAGCTGGCGCCACCCTTCATAATCGCCAGTCAGTTCACGGCGCCGCCTTGCTGAAAAGGCTACAATGGCTTCTCAGTCCACTCCAGGAAAACAGCGACAGCAACGTTCTCGTTAGGGCCTCTTGGGTTCCACACGATCTCAGGATTCGCCTGCCCCTCAGCCCCCGTCTGCTCCCAAACCCCAGCCACACTGGCCTGTGGCTTCTAAGCCCAGATCTGCCGGGTTACTGTCTCACGTCCACTTTCATCCTGGCTCAACTCTGGCTTTTCAAGGCAGTAGGACTGCCGGATAAATACCGAGCACCAGTTACATTT